AATATACAACCAACACCACCAGCCAGATCATGACGGCACCGGCACCATGACAAGATACAGCCTCGCAATCCACGCATAAAAGAGGTATATACTGTGCAAGGTGCAATGCAACATCATAAGAGAGGATCGATGCCCGTATTTACATGACGACCACATCGTCGCCGCCAGCCATCCACCATCCACCCTCCTTGCCGGAACCCTCCACCCCTACCCCCCCCCTTCCCCTCCCCTTTCCTTCTTGAAAAGCAACCTCTGTCTAAGATAATATATGTGCAAAACCAAGAACCCAGAGAGTACAGTACACCAGCGTACAGTCGTCGTCTTCTCCCCAGTCTTGAATTACACGTGCCCTCCCTTCCCGCACCCCAACCCAGCCGAGCACCTATATCACCTCGCCGATAATCTTGGCCGCTTCCCGGTACGTCTGCAGCAGCTTCTCGCACTTCTCGCGCTCCTTCTTGATGGCGTCGTCCTCGTACAGCAGCTCCTCAAACAGCGTCTCCTTGTACAGCTCGCTGACGAGCCGGTTCTGCACCACGTCCTTGCAGTGGTTGACCAGCAGGTGCATGATGGCCTTGGGCACCTGGTCTGCGATGCTCTCCCGCACAATGTTGAAGTACGAGCTGATGAGCGCCCGGATCAGCTCCGTCTCCATGGCCTCTCGGTCCGTCATGGCCGGTTCGCCCGTGGCGCCCTGGTGTCACATGTTAGCATTCTTCCCACTTGAAAAAGGGGCGCCATGGCCATGGTCAGCTTACAAAGTCGGCGCCCTTGGGGGGCTTGAGAAAGTCGAGCTCGTCATCCATCCGCGGGGGTGCCATGGGCGAGCGCATCGCCTTTTCCTCTGGTCGTCGCATGCTCTGGCTAAACGTGGGCTCCGACGCCTGGCTGACATGCCGGCTGACGTTGCTGTGTTGAGGGGGGGGTCCGGGCACAATAGCTCCGTCCTTGCCGAAAAAGTAGTTCAGGAACGAGTCCTTGGCCCCACCCGGGCCTTGTCCGTTGAGCCGCGCCGGTGAGTCCGATCGGCCGTTCAGCATGCCGAGGCCGCCGGCAAGACCCTCGCGGACCTGTGACTGACTCCGGCCCCCCTTGTTTGCCATCCTGCGGATGGCCACTGTGTCGGGCTTCTCCATCGGCGTTTCTCCCTCTTCCTCCCCCTCTGCCGGCGTTTCCACCCCGTTGGACCCGAGCTCCTTCATCCGCCTCCTCTCGCGGCGCTCGCGCTCTTCTTGAATCAGCCGCTTGCGCTCCCGGTCCTGCTTGTTGCTGACAACGTTGCTCATAGCCGCTGCCGCCCCGAGGAAGTTGGGGTGGTTCGTGTTGATGTAGGCCCGCTGGATCGAAATCAGCGACTCGACGTAGGTCGAGGCAGGGCCCAGCCGTTCCCGAAGCAGATCCGAGACAACCTCGATCAGTTTGGCCTGGAGCCTCGGGAACCTCGACAGCTCCGTGTTTCCGCACGTGTGGCAGATCTTGATGAGCTCCTCGTACACCAGCTCGACGCAGCGCTGGCTGGGAACCTCGAGGAGCTTGATCTGCGGCTTCACCAGCAGATCAAAGGCCATCTCTGGCACAAACAGACTTGGCCGGGGTCCCGTCGAGTTGCGGATCGCCGTCCGGATGTCGAGAGCCGACAGGTTGGACGTGGGGTCAATGGTATCCAGGGAGCTCCCAAAGACCGAGTTGAAGATGTAGTAGATGCGCGCGCCACCGCAGAGCTCCTTTGTCGAGATCTCGGTCGAGGTGCCGTCGATCGACGAGATGAACGACGTCGCGAAGCGCGTCATAAGCTGCAGAATAAGGGAGCCGCGATGTTCGTGACCGCTAAAGTGCATGTCGCCGTAGCTGGCCAGCTCTTGCTGCGTCTGTCCCATCAGTGTATTCAGCCTCGCCTTGATGTCGGGCAGGCGGTCCCGGATGTGAGCCATGAGCGTCGTGTTCAGCGTCTTGGCGAGAAAGTAGGTGCCGCACCGTGTCGCAATGTTTCGGTACGCCGGGTGGTGCCTGAAGAACTCGGTCTCCGACTTGAGCGCCTCCTCCATGGGCTTGCTTCCCAGGATATCCTGCTGCGACCGGTTCACAACTCCAATCCAGCCGAGCTTCAGCGGGTACACACGGCCCGAGAGGATGTCGAGAGCGTTGGTGCCGTGGTCCATCAAGTCGACCTTTGTGAGGACGCCGATGGTCCTTCGCCCCAGGGCGTCGACATGGCGGGCGAGCTTCAGGGCCTCGGAGTTGACGATGTCGACGTTGGCGGGGGAGACGGCGAGAATGATGCTGTTGGGCTTGGCGATGTACTCGGAGATAAGGTTCCTCGTTTGCTTTTCGATGTCGGTCGGTTGGTCTCCAATAGGTACCTATCGGGAGCGATCGGGTTAGGTACCAAAGCCCAGGTGGGGTGGGGAATGCTGCAGGTTTGCCCAACTAACTCACCTTTGTCAGACCCGGCAAGTCCACGAGCGTCAGGTTCAGGACGTTGGGCGAGAAGATCTTGAGGTTTATGGGCTGGCGGTTGATGCCCTTGTTGCTACCGGCGATCCTGGACGTCTCGTTCTCGATCTCGCGCTTAACGTCGCCGAAATCGGTGAACCTCCGGTTCGGGATGTGGTGGAACTCGGCCCATTCATTCCGGCCAGCTTCGTTCGGGTTGCGGTAGGAGCGCATAGGGTCCTCCTCGTCATCGCCGGGGACGTTGATCAGCTGGAGAATAAGCGGTCTCCTCGTGACGATGCCGCTGCCGCGGGGAAGGAAATCTCGGCCGACGATGTTCTCGAGCACCGACGACTTGCCGGCCGACTGGGAGCCGACGACGACCTAGCAGAGGGGGTTCCAGTTAGCATCGCCCTTGGGGTCACGGTCATGGATGGTGGCGGGCCGGCGGGCCAGGGCGCGTACAATTTGTGGCAGATCCAGCGAGTCGTTGCCTATTGTGTTGAAGACCAAGTCCTGCAACTTGTTGACCGTCCCCAACAGGTCATCGCCGAGGGTGGCCATTGCGGCGGGTCTGCAGCGAGAAGGATCTGGGATGGTTTCGAGGTTTCGAGGTCGAGGAGGGTGTGCCGGCGGCGAGGTCGAGGTTGACGTCGCCTGGTCGCAAGGAGCGAGGGACGAGGGGATCCCCGGTGAGCAAAGGGAGACTACGCAAGAGCTGCGCAAGGGAGGGGAGCAGCTGCCGGGCGGTCGGAAGCCGAGGCTTGATCGCGGGCGTCGAGGACGAAGAGGTGTGACCTATTGTTTGTTGTTGTGCGGCCTCGAGTACGGGGTCCTGGGTCCTGGCGGGGGGGGTAATGGTGCTCAAGCCTGTGCCAGTGTGCAGTGGTTGCCAAAATTCTGGAGTGGGCGGGATTTGAACTTTGCCGTGGAGACGTCTGCTTTCGCGCATCGCCCCAATTTCCAGCTTGTCATGCAAGGAAGCTCATCGAGCGCGCCAGGGCCAAGCCAAGCCATGGAAGTGTTTTTTGTCTGTGGCGTGGCCTCAGGCCGCAGCGCCAAGGCCTACACAGACAGCAACCCGGGATGCATGGCATGATGCAGCTCACGATGGAAACTTGAAACTTGGTTTCTCCATTGACAACGGCGAATGACTTGACGTACCAACCCAAAATTCCACGACACCCGCCAAGCCCCTCTTGATTTGGCGATAGTTCTTGAGAGTAAGACGCCATCTTTCTTTGCCTGTGCCCGTCTCGTAGCACTGGGCTTTTCACGGTCACGGAAGGCGGTTGGAGGACACCAGGGAGCTCTCTTTTTTGACGTCTCAGAGTTCGACATGAATCCCCAACTTGTCGAATTCTCGCGTCTCGCCTCAAAAATAAACGAAGCCATTCTCAAGGACTCTGTTCTCCCTGTACCAGAACCAATAGACGATTTTCGCGCAACAATACACACATGTTTTCTGGTCTTCCCCTAAACCCAATGCTAACCACTTCTACCTCAAGAAGTAGATCCTCAAGCCCTCCCAACCATACAAAACACCAATACCTACAATGACATTTGGAGCCCCAGGGCCACTGCCCACAACAAAACCAGTCCCGTAAGTTTACCCGTTGTCCCAATGCCACTTTCCACTGCTCACATACACTCCCAAGTCCCCAGCGAGGAAGCTTCCCACTTGATCACGATGGTAAGACACCAACCAGTCACCCCAACAAGGGACACCAAGCAGCGATACTGACCAACCACCAGGCGAATGCAAAGACGCCATGATCAGCTACCTGGCCTGCATCAAAAAAGTAAAGGGCGTCAACGAGAACCAGTGCCGCAACCTGGCCAAGTCATATCTCAACTGCCGGATGGACCGGTGCGTCGACAAAAACCCGCAATTTGTGTGTTTCGCTGACAATTGCCTCCAGGAATCTCATGGCTCGCGACGAGGACAAGAACCTGGGGTTCGCAGAAGACCCCAAGCCAAAACCAGAAAGGGAAAAGGGGGTCAAGGGGGAGCTTCAGTGGTGACGAGGGTTTGGTGGAGCGAAGTCAAAGCTGCTGAATGGAGTTCGAGTTTGCCGTCTGTTCCTTCTCGTTGCTCGAGACCAGACTACGCGGGGGGGGGGGCTTTTCGACAAGCCCTACCTGCCGCAGGTTCACCCATCGCGTCTGAGAAGTGATCCTTTCATACATGGAAGTGAGAAAGGACACCAGCGTCAGAATCGAGCTTGCTGCCTCAGCCCCTATTTGGGCAAGGAATGTAAATAAACAACAGTATCGACATTTTGCTCCCTCAAGACACGGCCACCCAGCACAAGGCTCTCTCTCGGTCAGGGAAAAGGAGAATACAGCGCGGTAACCTTTATGTGCCGTTTATGTTGCACCAAAGTCCCACGATGACCTTCAGTCCCGTCGTCCATCGTAAAGTCGAAACCCGCAACCCATATAGTGGGAAGCACAGGACTCGGAATGACAACACCCACCAAAAAAAAAAAAAGACAACATAGAGGTACACTCTGTAAGAGTCCTCTAAAAGCAATCCACACCAGATGGTGTGGGTCCAGGAATGAAGGTCGTACCGAGACTCGAACTCAGGTCCCCGGAAATTCAGATGCAAGACATCAGAATCCGATGTGATAACCAACTACACTATACAACCTGGAAGTGTTGATGTTGTGGCGATGCAGAAATCTGGGTTTATGCATGACAAACGTGGGTTCGGGTGTGTAGTGGAGGGTGCCCGCCCCGTGAAAGGACATAGAAAGTCCAAGTCATACCGGGCGGTTTAGACTTGTTGCAAAAGTTAAGAGACTTCGGAGCGAAATAGCTTGAGAATGGGCTGTGATTGTTTTCTTTCTCGGGTGACTAAAAGGAGAAAAAGTAGTATGGTATGGTATGGGCATATCATATACCTATGAGGGCTTCGGTGGTGTTGTCACGAGAGATGACATTGCAGGGGCAACCTGACGCAGAAGGGAACCTCTTCCATTGGGGTTGTAATGCTTTTTTTGTTCTTCTTCCTGGGTTTGTGCATTTCATCGCAGACGCTGATGACAGTCTGTAGGTGTCCTACCCCTCAGCAACACCATCCTCTGCCTCTTGCTGAGCCCATCTCAAACTCAGCCGCTAACAATGGTACCCCCGTTGCAGTGAATCGTCTGCCCGCTAATCGCCGAGCTATCTGTCGACGCCAAAAACACCACGCACGTCGCCACCTCACTCGGCTGCGCAGGCCTGCCCATCGGGCTGGTAAATTGCTTCTGTGCATCCTCCGTCATCGTCGCCGGAATCAGGGGCGTCCACACCGGCCCCGGAGCCACCGCGTTCACACGGATTCCCTTGCCCACCTGCTGGTTGCTGAGCCCGCGCGTAAACGAGATGATCGCGCCCTTGGTCGACGTGTAGTCCAGGAGATCCGGCCTGCCGGTATACGCATTGATGCTGGCATTGTTGATGATGGTGCTCCCCGGCTTCATGTGCGGGAGCGCGTACTTGGCCAGGTAAAAGTACGGGTGGATGTTGGTGTTGAACGTGTTGATCCACTGCTCCTCGGACAGGTCGGCGATGTCCTTGACCATGTTCTGGAAGGCGGCGTTGTTGAAGAGGATATCGATCTGCCCGCCAAACGCCTTGACGGCCTCGTCAATGACCTTTTGGCAATTGGCGCGGTCGCGCAAGTCGGTCGAGACCAGGTGGCACTTGCGGCCGTAGGCCTCGACGCGCTTCTTGGTCTCCTGGGCGTCGTCTTCCTCCTCGGGGAGGTAGGCGATCAGCGTGTCGGCGCCCTCCATGGCGAAGAGGATGGCGGTGGCGCGCCCGATGCCCGAGTCGCCGCCCGTGATGATAGCCTTACGGTCCTGAAGCTTGCCGGCGGCCCTGTACTTTTGCGACTTGCCGTCAAAGGTCGGGATTTCATCATACAGAGGGGTTGGGTTGGGCATCTTGCCCTCCTTTCCCGGGAAGCTCTGCTGCGTAACGGGGACCTTGTGGCCTGCAAGTGGTCAGTATAGGAACGTGATATCTGGTTGATCGTGTGGGAAATGTACCGCTCTCAAACTGAGACTTGTCCGTCATGTTGGGCGAGCTGTGGGTTCGTGCTGGTTTCAAAATGTGGATTGATGTTTGGTGCGTGGTTTGTGGTTCTGGAGGGGATAGAGAGTTTATGGAGAGAGTCTGATTGATGTTTGAATTTTGGCTTCCTCTGCCATTGCGCTTTCCATCCGTTATATCAGCGTGAAAGGGGTCTATGACATCGCTCACTCCAATGACGTCATGACTCTAGAACGTCCCACAGGTCGCCATCGTCTTTGAAGATCTACATCACATTGCGCTGGATTTGACGCAAGGACTGAAAGTGGTGATTAATTGTCAGACTTCTCGGGGTGCGCGGGTGGTTGTGGCTGACTGGGGCATGGTCGCTTGCATCTCTGTTTACTTGCCCCTTTTCAACACCACACCTCACTCTCTGGCCAGCCAGGACTGTCGCTCGTCTCCATATTTGGGTGGTCAGCGATGAATTCTGCACACCTCAGCTGGAGGGATGATGGCATTCGGAATGTACCTGACTCTCGGCCCCCGAAGCAGCTTCCTGGCCACGACCCAGAGGGTCAGGTACAAGAGAACCAGAACCAGAGCTGGTATATCCAGTCACTACTCCAAGCCCTCCCCACCCTCCTCCCCTCCCGGTGTCCCCTCCAAAACAACCAACCTTCCCATCTCATCATACCCAACCCTCCCCTCCTCCACCGCCCTCCTAATACCCTCACTAAGAACCTCCTTCTCCCCCGTCTCCGCATCCCACCACCACCCCTCCCTCATCCACATCCACCTCAAACAAGCCCTCAGCTCCTTATCCGCCGGCACCACCCTCATCCACTCGGGCTGAAACCCCTCCTTGCTCCCCTCCCCATTCCACCCCTCCGCCCTCCCCAACAACACATCCCGACAGAAAATCCTCCACGAATCCAGCGCATACGCCCCCGTCACCAAATGCCCAACCTCCCACGCCGCCCCGACCGCCTCCGCCCCCTCCTCATCCTCCCCACCAAACCTCTCCCCGTACTTCACCCCGACCCCCACCTCAGCAACAGCATCCGCATACCCCTTCACCCCGTACCTCGTCCCCCTGTCCGGGGGGTGACTCAACCACCCCCCCGCCAACCTCTGAATGACACCACACCGCAAATTCGACAGCCCCAGCGGACGAATCATCTCGACAATCTCCTTCGGGTCCGCAGCAGCCAGGGCCTCGGGCCCCGGAAACTGCTCCATCAGCTTGTGGAAGTAAGGAATGGCGACGACGGCCTTGGTTTTGATGAGGAAGGTGACGGCGACGAGGAGTCGGAAGGGGTCCGAGGCGAGGGATTCTTGGATGAGGCCGAAGCGAGGGGCCGAGAGAGGGGGGATGGGTAGGGAGGAGAGGGTTCCGCGCGGGGGGCGGACCTTTGGTGGTGGGCGGGGGACCGCGAAGAAGGGCGAGGTTGTTGGGTTTTTGGATGTCGTGGTGGCAGTGGGGGGTTGAGCTGGGTGGGAGGTGGGGGTCGCGGTGGGTGGTGGGGGTGGATGCCGGGGGACGGATGTGTGGAAATGGGCGGGGGGGATAATCGGCAGCAGTGTGGTTCGGCGGTGGGGGTCAAGGGGTGCTGTCTCGTCGCCGGCGTTGGGGTCGCCCCAGAAATGGGAGACGGTTCTGTTGGGTGGTGATTTTCGGGTTGATATCTTTGGCGACTGCTTCACCCGCCGAGTTTGCTTCTGGGACCCAGCATCGGCGCTCTGGTCAGTGGTGCTGCTCCCATAGAGAGCACCGAGATGACCCAGCAGTCCCCATTCTGGATCGGGTGCTTTCTCCTCGAGCGCGACGGCGCGTTTGATGAGCATGTCCCATTCTTCAACTCCGCGCATGAGGCTCAGTGAGACGACCTCATTTTCCTCCTCTCGCGACACCCGGCCGGACGCGAGGAGAGAAGACAAATATTCCTTGGTATCATCATCCTGGATGTTGAAGCCGGAAAGCAGGTCGCGCGCGAGCTGGAGCGCAGCCGGGGACGGCGTGGCATCTGGGATCGACATCTGCGCAGGTTGATGTCTTGCAATTGTCGAGAATTCGCAATCGTCCGAGAGTCGACCTGGATTGAATTCTTTTCGCCACCTGACGCCGTGTTAGCGATTGCTGTGCTTTGTTGCTGCGAGAAAAGAAGCCAACCGAAAAAAAGGTCACCAGCTGAGGCATCCAAGATCAGAATGTTGAAATGGAATGCCCAGTTTGTTAGGTGATGTGTGAAAAAAAAAAAAGAACGGCGACTCAATATTTCCTGTTGGTCCTGTTGGCAATGTCGTCCACAGATCGGAGCAAGCGGCACACGTCGACACACACCCGTCACAGGAAGAAAAAAGGTGTCTAGCTTGTATTGAGGCCGGAATACTTGATTTACACTCTACCCACTCCCCATTCAGCCCCCTCCCCATCCGCTCCAGCCATCCGAAGCCCCTTGTTTTCTCGCCCTCTCTGGGGTGGTGCAGAGGCAACCGGTGCGCCCGGGGCCCATATGATACATACAAGAGCGCGAAAACGTGCTTGTCTCTGATGTCGCCAGCCACTACATGCGGATGTTCTTGTTGGCCTTGGGCGGGTCGTACACAATCTTTCTCGACTTGAGGTACGCCCACTTGTACCGCTTGACCCAGACGCTCATCGCAAACAGCACCGACGTCATGACCAGAACCTTCATGCCCATCTTCTTGCGGTCGTCCATCTCGGGTTCCGCCGCCCAGTTGAGAAACTCGACAACATCCTTGGCCATCTGCGACGTCGTGGCCGGCGTCTCGTCCTCGTAGTCCACCAGGCCATCGTAGAGGACGCGGGCCATGGCGATGCCGGTTCCGGGGAAATACGGGTTGAAGTAGAGACCCTCGCCGACCGAGGCACCCGCGGGCGCCTCTTCGGGGTAGCCAGTGAGGAGGGAGAAGATGTAGTCGCAGCCGCCGTGGCGCGCCTTGACCATCAGGCTGAGATCGGGGGGAAGAGCACCGTTGTTGGCGAAACGGGCCGCCTCGTCGTTCGGGTAGGGCGCGGGGAGGTAGTCGGCCAGCTTGCCGGGTCGCTTCAGGATCTCGCCCTGGTCGTTGGGCTCGTCGTCGTACTCGTTCTCTTCGGCCAGCGCCTTGGCCTCGTCCGTCGTCAGGACGGTGCCGACAAGGGCGCGGTAGGGCACTCTGCTGAGCGAGTGGCACGACGCGCACACCTCGCGGTAGACCTGGAAGCCTCGTCGGAGCCTGTGGAGTGTTGCAGCTCGTCAGCCATGCCCTGCCTCGGGTCTGTCGCAGGGAGCGCTGGGTCGGGACTTACGCCTGGTGGTCAAAGGTCTTGAACCACTGCTGGTGGACCCATGGGTACTTGGTGGGATGGAGACTGCGTCATGTGTGAGCCGTGCGATCCTTGCTCTCGGGGCGTGCTCGTCGACCGTGGCCGGATTGGTATATGCCTCAGCTGAGGGGGCCACCCGCGGCCACGGCGGCGAGCACACGCCGACACTGGCAGTTCAAACTCACCCCTCCTCGGCCGGCGTCATGGCATGCGCCGTGGGTCCATAGAGGTGAAGGTACCAAGCGATGGAGCCGGCAGCGACCGCCGTGGAGGCGACGCCGGCAATGTTGAGTCGC